TGTAATATTTTTAAAATCTTTCCCATATCTCTTAATACAGCCAAGAACTTTATTAGCTTGGGCAATAACATTTTCATAGTGATAGTTATTGCACTCACCCAATCAAAAATGCTTATGTCAAATCTGGCACAGCATTTGAATTAAGTCATAGAATAAACCTTATTGAAGTGCTAGATCTGTACAAATTCGGCAGATCATGATTGCTATTATTAATAAATATGTAAATTGTAGTAAACTGTAAAATGTGTATATAAAACATGAAATGATTATTTAATAATTTATTACAAACAATTATTGATAATTAATAATAAAAAAGAACAACTTATGCTAGAAAATAATCAGTTATAATAACTATGGAATGTGTTGGTGAAATTTCATATGCTTCAAGTGATTTTAATTTTAAGTTTTTCGGTTACAACATAAACAATGTAAGTATTCTAAAAATATTTTCAGAGTGTCTAATGGTTTGCACCAACAACAAACAAAACTGAACAAAACACAAAAAACGCTGCGGGGTATGGGCTGCATGTGAATGTCCCACAGCCACAGAAGCCTCACTCGACAAGGAGACGAAAATTAGGATGAAAGTGCACTACTCATTTAAAGGGCTATCGTCTTTAGTCGGCATTACCCGCAGCTTTCCGTACATGTGTGCAGCCCTATTAGGGCTATGATTTGCAGGCGCGTTTTTAAGAAATATTGGAGTTGGGTGCACGTACACCTACACAACAATGTAATTTACAAATCTTTTTTTTAAATCATTATTGTCTTAGGAGTATACATATTTACCATTGTTATAATTGATATTGGAATTGTTTTTGTGTTATATTTCAAACAACTTTTTAACTGCCTTTTATTATGTGAATAATGTTTAATGCTGATTCCTAGAAATTCATCTTTCAGGCCCGGTTTTATTCCAAGTAGGTATAAAATCTGTTAATTTGCCGATTTCCTTTATCTAGTAAACAGCTTTCCTGGAATTAGTGTTCCTTTCAAGTTGGGAAGCATACATTTTTTTTAATCAGTCCAATCAGTAGGCATTAATATCGATTCGTTTCGTGTTATTTTAATTCTAAGTTAAAAAGACATGAAATAAGTAGTGCCGTTCGCAATTGGACTAATTATTGTTTAGACAAAATAACAAAAATAACAAAATGTTATAAATTAAAAAAAAAACTTTCAGTTTGCAACATTGTTTTAATTCTTCCATTGCATTGATGAGAACTTTTTCAGCTCTTTATCCTTACAAAAACAAGTTTTTGTGTAAATTTTATTTAACATAAAATTTTGAATCAAGCTTACACTTTCATGAAAGTTTAACACATTCATATATATTAGCATTTTTTAAACATTCTCTATAAATGAGAATCTTGCTGGTCTATTCGTCAACATTTTAGTCATTCCCACTAAATTCTCCAAGGTTTGACTATTTATAAATTAAAGTTGATGTGCTGTTTAATTTATTAAAACCAAATATTTTAATATCCACGTTATCTTTGAAATTTTCAGGCTTATAATTACTTGTGGGACACCCTGTATAATTTAGAATAATAGAAATTTCAGCATTATTACTAAATGTACATTATTATTATTTTGTTACATAAATTCATGTATTTTTAAAAGTTAACCATCCGGTAACATTTCACATGGAATGGCTGAGACACGGCACTGAGACTATCATTGAATATAGAGCTATGTTCAGAGTTGAAAAAATATATTCTACGCTAGGAACGATGATCCTTGGTTTGTTGTGAAAAATAAACACATTTTTATTAACCTCGCCTTTAAAATGATGTTATACTATTTTTCTAGAATGATTATACGTACTTTTGATGGGTTCAAAGACTGTTCATTGGGGTATTCACATTTTAAGTTATGCTCGAAATAACCAAACAACAAATAAAACAATGTTAGCATTGTTTATGTTCGATGAATGTTACCATTTTCAATACTTCTAGTTCATCAAAACTAATTTCTAGATTTTCGTTATCTCATGAAGATGTTGGGGGTATGAACTAGCTAAATACATTTTTTTAATTCGGCCATCTCTACAGTTGTTGATGTCATTGCTGTAATCGAAACATGGTTATCGGATAGCCTAGAATCGTCCGAGATGTTGGGCAAGACATCTATACTGTTTATCTATGTGACATAAACTTCAGTGCTTTAAACGTTTCTAGAGGAAATGATGTTTTTGTGTATGATGCTATTAGTTCATAATTTATTTGAAGTACCTACATCTTATTGATGTAGCACATATTTGTTCTTCTGTTTCAGCTGTGAATATTGTGGGTTGTTAAATTAAACTAGCTCGAAATTAACCTTAATGATTTTTATGTATTATTTGCATGTATAAAAATGATAAATATTTTTGTCAGGCTAATCTTTTGATCGTTGGAGAGTTTAACATACCGGATTTCTACAACTGTATTAATGAATGATTACTTGACAATAAAACTAAGTGTATTTTTATTTTTTTTTATAATTTAAACCTAAGGCAAATGTAACCCTGTGTTAAGTGATTTGTGTGACCCTGATTTTTAATACGCCAGGCGAGATGTCAATGTCAGATGAATAACTTTCAAGAGGATGGTCTGGTCACAATAAAACTTTCGTAGATAACTTTGACGTCAATTTAAAAAAAAACCGTCACAAATAATGTAACAATAAAAAAACTTACTTGAAATAAAATGTATATTAATAAGTTCACTTTCAATCCACACCCGCACACATCATATAGTATTCAGAAAAAAAAGTTATTTCTTGCACTAAATGGCTGTTAATAGACATCATAGCCAACGCACTTAGACGAGTATTTCTCATCGTATTTATAAAAAAAAGTTTTAATTTTCTTAATTGTTGAAAAACAACGTTCTGATTGTGCAGTTGTCCTTGGCGTGGTTAAAATAATCATAAGTAACTTTATAGATCTCTGAAAAGTTTCGGTCAGGTCATTTTGCAGTATTAGTATTATTTGTCTGAAGTCTGGCCGAGAATAAATGACTTCTAATTCTGTTCTTAAACGAATTTTACACAAAAATGTATACGCGGAACACGCTGCATTCAATAGGTCCATTGGAAATACTTTTGTAAATTTTATAAATAATTCTGTGTTGAAAAATTCGGCAGTTTAAAGCTGGCCACGATATGAAAACCTTTCCTTCTTTTGTGATACAATTATATCAAACACTTTTTTGGCATGAACACTTTTTCGCACATCGTCTACTTCTTCTTTTCTTCTCCTCTTTGTTGGACGTAAATTCTTTTCAATATCTCTTTCAATAATGTCTGTGATATTTCTAATGTTTTCCACACATTTTTCGAAATTTTTCAATTTCGATAAAACTTTAAAAAGCAAATTATCTCAAATGTATGAGTAGATAAGCTAGAGGCGTTCTAGCCCAAAATCCCATGTATTTTCTTATGGAGGTTCAAATTAGTGTTCAAGGTCGTTCGTTTCATAAATGTCTTTATATGCATGCGTGATTATTTTACCGATAAGATAAACGGATATCCGTTAAAAAGAAACAGGGAGCTGTTTATTACGTGGTTTTACCCGTTTATTTCCTGTTTTTACCCGTTTTTTACCTGTTTATTACCTGTTTTTATCTAATGACTCCCTGTTTCTTTCTAACGGATATCCGTTTATCTTATCGGTAAAATAATCACGCATGCGTATAAAAACATTTAGCAAACGAATGACCTTGAACGCTAATTTGAACCTCAATAAGAAAATACATGGGATTTTGGGCTAGAACGCCTATAGCTTATATACTTGTATGCTATTGGATGCGATGGGATTGGAGTATTTTAAATAATTTAATAATAATAATAATAATAATAAGGTAAGTGCGTGTAATAAGGCCCACCTAAGGATTGAAAATTAAAGAAAAAATAAATGTACATATTTTTTACAGTTTTTATATTGCAATGAAATATAAAATTAAACTATAAATCGTGTCAATAATAACAAAGAACAAAGAAACAAAAACAAAATTCTGAATTAAAAAAAAAAACATGTAAATGGGCCTTATTTCATGTACAGCAGGTAATTAGACCCATCCATTTAAGGTGTACAATCCGGGCAAACAAAGTCTTCCTCGTCCTCAGCTGTGAGCCCTACGCAGTCCTCATGCACTCAAATGAGGCACATGATGCACTGACGCATGTCACTTAGGCAGTGCGTTTCACATAATTTGCAAAACCAAGTTTCTTCGACATTTTCTCGTGAAGTGCTTGGAATGGGTTCTGGTTCACAGGTGCGTGTTTCTGTTTGCTGTGCATTGGTTTCAAGCTCTTTTCAGTGTCATTCTTGTTCTGGAAGAGATTTTTTGTAACCTCCTGGGCTTTATAGATTAAAGCCTTCTTCCTCAATGTGGCTCTCTTTGACGTTTCGGTATTGGGGGTTACTAACACTGTCGAAAATGAATTGGTAGCTGCTTCATTTTGACTCTGCAACTTTTCTTTTAAAAGATTCAATGGTTGCTCATCCTCTGATTCCTATTCTTCGACCTCTGGGATTATTGTGTCGACCTCTGGAATTTGTCTGTTAACATTTGGAATTTCTCTGTTGGTGGGGAGACTAGGTGCGTAAACGTAGTCTGGGATAATATTTTTATTAAAAGGATAAATCCCAGTAGCTCTGAAACCACTGGATATGTTGCTTATAGTCATTGATCTTCCCCAAACAGGAGTAAATACGTCAGAAAATCTTTCTTTGTTTAAATTTCTTCCAGGATAGTTTTCCCAATACTGAAGAAGTTCTTCATCCCAGGAATGTTCGAAGGATCGAAATACAGCCTTGTCCATCGGTTGTAATTCATGTGTTGTGTTACTAGGTAAACACAACATACCTAATTGTTCAGCCTTAGCTACAATGGATAAATCGAGATGGCAAGAAGCTCCATCAAAAATTAAGATAACTGGAGGAGCTGACATGAACTTAGCGAAATGATCAAGCCACTTCACGAAAACCTCAGTCGTCATACTCCCTTTAGGTGTCATGTGGACAACAGAACCAGGAGACCATCGGAAAAAGTTGGTTTCATTCGTTGGCCTTTGAACAAAATCATCGGGGGGATAACATGCCCCATAGCATTTCCGCACGCTACAATAGTTACATTTTCGGCATGCTCCTGGGAAACTAAATGAACCCGTTTTGCTCCTTTTTTTGCAATAACCTTTTGCTGGTGATGCAGGGTGAGTCTACACCCTTTCTCGTCCATGTTATACAGCTTCTCTGGGCTATGTTTCAATCCTGTCTTGTTGAGCAGGGCTTCTAATTTACTGAAATAATCTTCTACAATGGGTCTATTAAGTTTTTGAGCCCGTGCGGGATTCATGTACTGTGCTTTTCTTTGGGACAGCTTCTTATGGCGCTTCAAAAATGACCTGTACCATTCTCTTCCTGCTAATTTTTTGTCTTTGTTAAATTTGTTTGGAATTTTCTGTTGATCTACCAAAGAGTAAACAGTTCTCCGTAGAGATTTTGGAATTAACGGAAAACCTCTTTCTGCAAATCGAACAATTTTCTTCTCCAACTCATTTTCTAGTTGAGGAGTTAGCACCGGTGGTCTTCCTAATGACCTGGAAGTTTTTCCAGATTTCTTATGATTCCTCAATGTGCGACGAGGGATGCCGCAATGTTGTGAAACGTATCGCTCTGACTTTCCTTGTCTAAGAAGTCGTAAAGCCTCATCCATGTCTTCTTCACTCCGCTTAGCACGGATACCTCGGCACGGTTTACCCATATTTCCTTAAAAACGAAAAGAAAAAATATAACCCAGCAACGACAAGAAATAAGGCCCAGTTAATGTTTTGGTGGGCCTTATTTCCTGTTTCATCACTTGCTTGATTTTTAGGTTATCAGTCCAACATGCATTGAACAAAATCATCAATTTTCTGGCAATACACTGCCTACATATGTACTTCAACGTACCTGTAGTTATGTAGTCATTGGCTGATAAATACCCTTGAAAAAACTTCGATAAAACAATGCAATTTTTATAACTCAAGCAACAAAATTTGACGGAGAAACACTTTTGAATATAAGAATCTGCAAAAACGATTTCTGCAGTGTGGAAACATGCCTCCCCGGTATGTTGTACGTAATATAGTGGACAGGTGGCAGTACCAGTATTATAACTTAACGCCACTTGGAAAAATGGCGGCTGGGCCTTATTACCTGCTGGGCCTTATTACCCGCACTTACCTTATATTTGTGTTAACAATGTGGATACATTTTACACACCTCATATACAACAGACCTAATTACTTAATTACATCACCATACATCACCAGTTTACATCATTTTAACAACATCACCAAAATCATCGTAACTGGCAGTTAAAAACTCCTCAATCGAATAGAATGACCTAAAGAGAAGATATTTCTTTATATCATTTAAAAGCAGTTTAGGAGAGGATTTATTTATGACATGGTTAGGGAGGCAATTATAAAATTTAATGCAATAATAATTTGTTGTATTTCTGGAACGGGTTAATCTAATATTATTTATACATAATTCTGTAGATCTGGTAGAATAGGTATGGAAGAAATTTAAAGACTTATATAAATGAGTATTTTGAAGGATGTATTCAAAACACTTGTATATGTACAAACTTGGTAAGGTCAAGATGTTTAAGTTTTTAAAAAAGCGTCGACAATCATCGCGAAAACCAATTTTTGACATGATTGTAATTACTCTACGTTGTAACTTAAATAATCGGTGAGATGCCGAAGAATGTCCCCATATAATCAAATCATACTATAAATATGTCTGAATTAATGCATAATAACTGACTTTTCAAATTTTTTCTGAGACACAGTTGGACATGTTTCGAATAAAATGTATGTTCTTACACAGCTTGTAACAACCTAACAATTCAACAATTTTAACTAAATATATGTTTTTAGCTCTTGTGCAAGAGGACGTTTTTCCCTGCGGGTAAAAATTTACGCCGGGAATAGTAGATGCTTTTTCTGATGCAGTTAATATCTTCAACTCAGAATTGTGTTTGGGATTGGCCTTTATTCTTAATAAATTAGTTTTACAGGTTTTTCGCAGATGTCTTTAGTAGCTTTTCCTTTTATCTGGTTCCGGATGACATGTCTTTCCAAGTTCGGGTCTTCATCATGATTCATGAGTATGGTTAAATGCACCTTCAATTATACGCGCACTTTGACAATCACCAGTATAAACTTTAGGTGGACATCGTTTTAGTACAAATCTCCATCTTGTTTTGCCGCATTAAAAAACATTGGTTTTTGAATATTTATTATTATTAAAATGAAGAAGAGATTTTTCTTTTTCACTTTTAATGAATTTACCTTCCATTTTAAAACACTATAAAAGTTTTCACTTCAAAGTGGAAGCATATACTGACTTCTGAAAACATCGGCGTGATTCAAGTAAACTTGCAAATCGGTATAGCTTCAGATTACAACGTCTCATAGGTGGATAAATTATTACCTTTTATCGTCTAGCTAATACTTGCTCCACTGATCCAGATTTTGTTTTTCTCTCTCGTCTATTTCTTTAGTTTTCATAATAGTTGTTATTAAACTGCAAATTTGATCCCATTTTTCATTCATGAAAAATTCAAGATATTAAATTTTTTTCCGGTAGTTAAGCATTAAGCTATGCTTTTATTTGTTCGGGTGTAACATCTTGTCGACATCGAAGTACATGTAACCATATTTGCTTCACGGGAGCACCTCAAGTACTGATTTCGGTACAGTCATTCCCAACAATAATTTTGCTTTCATTTTGTTTCGACGCATTCCTACTCGTATTTTTATTTTTTTACAACGCGTCTTTTGCTTCTTTTTATTCACGCCACTATCACTTGTGATGTTGATAACAGTTTTACTTGAAGCGGTCGAATTATTGTGGTTTTCGTATTTACGTATTCGTCAGAACTCAAATTTGAATCCTCGGGTTTAATTACCTCACGCTTTTGAATTAGACTCAACAGATGAGAATTATTATTTTGTAACTTTGTCACTGTACTTTGGAGGTCGTCAATTTTTTTCAGCAGCATTGCAGTTGCATCATAGACTATTTTTTTTTAAATGATTTCATAAGCTCTTCATTAATTCACACAGGTTTTCACTCTTAAACTTACTACTATGATTCAATAATTTAGGATAATAGAAACTTTAGTATTGTTACTATGGCAATTACGATTAGCCGTTAGTCTAGGCATAGGCAACCAATATTGTAAAGGCTTTAATATCGATAAATAAAAGACAAATTTTTAAAACCAACAAAGTAAATGTAATTAAATATTAATTAAAAAAATAGAACCCATCAAAACCTGAAAAATATTAAATAATTAAAGCAAGTGTTCAAAATGCTTTCCTTGCAGTTCCAAACAATAACCCAAGGATTTTGAAAACCCCGCCACTGCATTCCTTATAAATTCAGAATCTATATTATTACATTCTGTACGAATACGTTCTTTCAGCTCTTCTAAATTTTGCATTGGAACATTAGTATAAATTTTTATTTTTAAATACCCCCAAAAAAAAATCGTTAGGTGCCAAGTCTGGCGATCGTGGGGGCTATGCGATGGGACTATGTCTCCCGATTCATTTCGGTGGACATGGGTATCATAAACGGTATAAACTTTTTAAAGCTATGCTTTAAGTTTCAAGACTGACACTTGACAGACTTGACACAAAATTTTAAATATTTAATATCTTGTACTCTCTAAAAGCTTGAAATGTCGATATTAGCGTCAGTAAAATGCGAGTTTCAATAAGTAGAAAAATTATTGAAATCAAATGTAACCCAGCCCATTCCTCTTGGAACAATCGTTTCTTTTCCGAAACTTTTAATTACGATTTTAGAAGGTTTAATATTTAAATTTAATTTAGATAACAGCGAACAATATACTACATTTATTTGACTACCTGTATCTAAAAACCCTCGGCATGGAATATTATTAATTTTTATACGAATTTGATAAATATCGTTATGAACTTGCCTTTGTATAAGATGAACTTTGGCGGGGTTTAGGTGCCAGGAGTTTTCTCATTCATGGCCTAATTTATCACTGTGGGAACATTTTTTTGGTTTAAATCCATTGGATGTACCTAGTCCTTGTTTTCTTGTGATTTTGAGATTAAAACTTGAAGAAACTATTCTTGACGACATGTCCATGTTTTTTGCAGATGTCATATTTTGGTGGACTTTTGGTCTATTCGTTTGTTTTTGGTACCATTCCATCATTTTTGCCTAGAAGTTCTTTGTAGAGTTTTTCTGGCGTTTTGATATTTCTAGATTTTGCAGTAGGGGAGACTTGTTTTTTTTTTAATTGAAATTTTAACTGGTAAAAATTAATATTTCAACAATTATAAATTTATACGCAATGGGTAGTAAATACTTTCTTTCTATGATGACAATATTTCAAAACTTTTATTCAAAAATTGAAAAAAAAGGTTTAAAATTCCGTGAGGTATGCCTGCCATCTCACCAACATGGTTTAGGGTGAGATGGCATTCTGGATACGGTGTAGGGTCAATCGGGGTAATGGGAAACGATTTTTGCAGAGTTGACTTGAAATTTAAATTGTTTAAATATGTATTATGACAGAAACTTTTCAACTAGTATATAAGTACATTTGGCCCTGTTCTACGGCAACACATACCCAGAAACCATTTAAAAACATGTGTGTTAAAAAAATATTTTTTTTAGTGTTTCCATTTACCCCGAAAATGTTTCCTTTTACCCGTTTATATGGGGGAAATGAAAACAGTATACCTTTTCGTACATAACGTGCATTTGCATTGGCTGGGGTTAAGGGAAACATTCGCAACATTTATACAAATTATTTTATTGTTGATAAATTTGTTCTTTTATTTTAGCAAATGGCAGTTAAACGGTTGTGTTGTCTACGGGTAGGTAGTTATCTAAAACAAAATGCTTTTTAATTATTCTTTAATTAAGAAGAAAGAAGAACAATATATAAATAAATATTCTTATACAAAATAAAACAAATTAAACATTATAACAAACGAAAAGATACTTCTCCATTAAAAAAATTGTAAGTTATTTAGGAACAATTGTATTGGGCGGCGTCTGGAAAAAAATGTCGTCCCCGAACGTGCTCACAGCGTGAGCTGACAATTTCCGAGCCGTCCGAGTCATCATGAAGAGAGATTTCATCCTCGCTCTCCTCCGGAGAACTTGTTATAGATGCTTTCTTCTTCTGTGCGACCCTTTTCAAAGTTTTTTCAGGAATGATTTTGGCTTTTTTTTTGGGTGCCTTTGCCATGGCCTTCTTTTGCTCAGCTTCTTGTAATCGTACGACAACTTGTTCGGTTGTCAAAACTTCGCCATACTGGAGCTGTTTTAGGCGAGGCGTCGGTTTTTTTACATCTTCTGCTACATTCGTGGAACTTTTCTTCTCACGAATGGCTGCCGCAAATATTTCGGCCACAGTTGGTGCGATTGATCTCACTTCAACAATTTGAGCCGTTGGTATTTCAACAACTTGAGCTATTGAGGCATTTTCAGGAACTAGAACAAAACGTTTTTTTACGTTATTGCTTCTGTCCAAACTAATGACAACATTTCAACAAAATCGCGCTTCTGCAAACGTCCAGTTCCCACACCAATGTTGTCTTTACCAAATTCCACGAGCTTTCGATCCCATGCCTTTTTCACTGGACCGAACACGCATTTATCTAAAGGCTGTATCTTATCCGTCAGATGTCTAGGAAATTTGATTATCTGAATGTTGCT